CCCCAAAACCCCAAAACCCCAAAACCCCAAAACCCCTAATAGGATTTTACTGATTGAAATGTATTTTATACCTTTAAATTTTCTTTAGAGTCGTTATGTTTATCGATTTCATCTCTGATATTCTGGATTTCTTGCCTTCCTCTGTTTACACTGAAAGGTTTAGCGTGTTCATCAGCATTGGTCTTAGTATTGTTTTGAGATTTTGAATTATCTGGTAGATCTATAGATAAGGTTTAGTAAAGAATATCAAACCTAGTAACTTCTGTCTATCATCTTCTGGTTCTTCTTCAACTATTTCAGAACTTTGAGTAGATCTACGCTTTCCTTTGCTAACTGAAGGGAGCTTTCTTTTCTTTATCTTAAACTGAGTCTGTGAAGGTATTTTAGTCTTATCATTCTTAGCAAATGGCCCACGACTGGTTAAAGGCTGGCTGGCATAATGCGTTGATTTACTATTTTTCATATTTTTATCCCTGACAGTAAATAATGGCTTCAAAGTCTTATAAGGTACTTTCCTACTAAGTTGCCTGTACTTGAGCTCATTTAATCTAGCTTCTTGATCCTTTTCCTTGACCTTAATTCTCATCATATCGTTCTCTGTAGCAGCTTTCTTAACATCCGCTTTCATCTTGGTCATAACTTTCTTAAACTTTTCCTCCCCTTCACGTTTCTGGGTCTCCAATTGCTCTATTTCTTTCTCTAGCTGCTGGATTTCGTTTTCGTCGATCTCAGGTGCAGGCAGGGCTGCATCTCCCCCTCTCTTATGCTCAATTAAAAGACTTGAGAGCTGGCGTCACCTCTCTTCCATCTGAAGAACCTGGTTGTGCTCTGCTGTTGTCTCTCTTTCACTGATCTTAAGAAGCTCTTGTTGCTGTTTTAGGGCAGTTTTGGCCTCTGATAGAGCATTTTGGGATTTATTTGTACCGCATTGTGATTTGGGCATCTGCGTCAAGCTCTTTTAAGGCCTGTTTGTTAGCGTTCTTCACTTTTCTGAGGGAATAGGCTTCTGATTCTAACCCATCTGCTTCTTTTTGGAGTTTTTTGAGTTCATTTTCGGCTTTAATGATTCCGTCAATGTCGTAGGCAGTGAAGAGAGCTTTTTTCATGCTTTTTATTTCATTCTTTATTCTAGTAGCTTTGTATTGGGCTATTTGGAGGTCACTATCTCTATCATAGAGAGGATCATCATTTCTCTTTTGAATTTTTTCTAAAGCTTTAAGATTCCAAATACCTCTTTCTTTAAATTCTCTGAACTCCTCAATTTTAGTTTCCATAGTCTGAATCAAATTTTCAATCTCAAAAATCATTTTGTCGTTAGCTCCCTCAATACTCATTACCATAACTTCACCTGCATCTTCCCCTCTATACTCCTAAACCTCATCGTACTTCCCCAAAAGCACCTCTAACTCCCCTCACTCACCTGCTTCATTCCTCCATCCTGCTCCTTTGCCCCTTCAGGGAGTCCAAAGTCGATTTCTGCACTATCCTCATCTTCACTATACTGTTTGTTCCTAAAAATAACGTTCTGGGCTTACGGCTGGGCTTCAGCTTGGTCGTAGTCACCTTGGCCGTAGTGGGCCTGTAGTTGTGTTAGAGTTGTAGTGGAGAGGTTGGGCTGTGAATGGGGATAAGCTTACTTGGGAGTGGTTATAAGAGTTCTCTTCCATTTGTGAATTTAGGTTTAGAAATAATTCAATTTTATATTTGGAGATTGGGGTTTTGGGGTTTTGGGGTTTTGGGGA